TATTCTCAAATGTGCCTGTCATCCTCTTTAGCAAAGCCATTCAGGAAAGCAAAAAGAGTCAGTGTTTCATGCTTAACTACTAAAAGAGAAACTAAAAAATGTCTTAAGAGCCAATAATTCAGTTTGGTTTTGTGTRTATGTGTGTGTGTGTGTCTGTATGTGTGTGTGTCTCTGTGTGTGTGTCTGTACGTGTGTGTCTCTGTGTGTGTGCATGCACACTTATGTGTGTTTGAAATGAAAGAATTTCTGAATCCACAAAATTTTTCTTTATACATCAAAAAACAACTGAGTAATTAGCAAAGAATTTCACTAAAAGCCACAGACAGGTGGAATTTTGCACATGACAATGTAGAATTAAGAAAAGATTCCACAGCCTCTAAAGAAAGAAGAATATATGAAAGTCCAYTGATAGACAGGAAAGGGCCCTGCAGGAGGAAACTGGAGTGACACTCCTTGAAACACCCTCAGGAACCCAGAGACGCAGACCTTCAGTTGAGGAGTTGGAATCACCAGATGAACACACAAGCTGGGTCATCATGCATTCTTTCTTCTTTTCTCTAAAACACGCCAGTACCCGTTGCTTCTCTGAGTTCTGGATTGCTTTTAACCTGAACATTTCTGTTCCTGCTGTTGACACACTGGGAGAGGTTCATGTTWATCCTTCAGCCTTCTTGACTAAGTCTGAGGTGATGCGCTGGGGTTTATCCTCTTGGAGGGTTCTACCTCTTTCACAGATCAATTTGGCAAATTTGAGAGGTCTATAGGTTTGTTTATGGTTTCAGTGATACACACTTTTCTTTCATCTGAGTTTATGAAGTCTTTTTAAATGAGCAAAATCTTGGAAGAATTGATACCTACTTGCTTTCAGTTAGATTCATGTACCACTTAACCACACCCAAAGTTKTTTCCTAGATCTGTTTCTCCAAAATGACCTACTTATTTTTTGCATCCTTGCATCCCCATTTGTCCTCATTTTTTTAATAAATTAAAGACTCAGACAGTCAGTAAAATTAGCTGAGTGTTCACTGCAAGGTGAAATCATAAAATGTCCTTGTCTTTCAAAGCCTCTAGAACTGTTAGGTCACACTGAAGTAGTTTCTCCTTCTAACTCTTCAAGGCATCAAATTTCTAAACTATCTCTTTTCTCTCTTATTTCTGCTTGCAAACTGACAATTCATTTTCTGAGCTCATCTCTGTTTTGTGATACATGGCTAAAAGCATGAAGTAAATACTATTTCTCAAGCTCACCTGAAGACCAGAACAGATTCTACTGATTAGAGAATAGCTCTCCTTCAAGAAGTGATCCAGATGCTCAGTCTCTTTCACCTTCCTACCTGGCTTTTAAGCTTATCACAGCTCTCCTCAATCTGCAGAAGCAGGACAATGGAGAATTATTCATGGAAGTTTTTAWGAGCTTCAATGTGCTGCATAAAATTTTTGCTCAAATTCCACTGGCTAACCCTCACATAAATCTACTTAATATCAAAGGTAGTACCAAAATATAGTCTATCTGTTTGTCTTCACTTTTTAACAATGAGTTATCAGCAAGCACCAAAATTTCCAAGAGAATTGGATGTTGCAATCCAGATAGACAAATGAACAGCAGAAGATGGGAAGAATGAAGATGCACATGACAAGAAGCTGAAAACTATGAACATGACTGTCTCAGGCTGAAAGAGAATTTCCAAAAAGGTAGAAAATACAAACAAAAAGAAATGCAAAGTTCTGTGCAATCTTTCTTACAAGTAGTTTAAACAGAGAAATGCCTTTGCATTTATTTATTTATTTACTTATTTACTTATTTATCTTTTTATTTATTTATTTAAATTAGCTTATTTATCTTAATTAGGTATATGTGGCAGCAGAATGCATTTTGATTCATTGTACACAATTGCAGCACAACTTTTCATTTCTCTGGTTGTACACTATATAGTATTACACTCTATGTGCAGTCATACTTGTACCTAGAATAATGATGTCCATCTCATTCCACCATCTTTTCTGCACCCATACACCCTCCTCACCCTCCCTTCCCTTTGCCCAATCACAATTCCTCCATTTTTCTCATGTCTCCCCACTCCCCATTATAGATCAGCATTCACTTATCAGAGAGAACATTCAGCCTTAGCATGATATTCTCCAACTTCATCCATTTATCTGCAAATGCCATAATTTTATTCTCTTTTAATGTTGAGTAATATTCTATTGTGTAAATATATCATAGTTTCTTTATCCATTTATCTATTGAGGGGCATCTAGGTTGCTTCCACAGTTTAGCTATTGTGGATTAAGCTACTATAAACATTAATGTGATTGCGTTACCATAGTATGTTGATTTTAAGTCCTTTGCATATAAGACTGAGGATTGGAATAGCTGGATCAA